CATAACCGGTACATTATTGGTTTTGTATTGCTTTTACTATGCTAGGGCCCTATGAAATACGTTTTATTTTTTTTTTTTTTTTTTTTTTTTTTTTTTTTTTTTCCAAATGAAAAACATGTTTTCACTGCAGAGATGCATAAAATTCAAATAAACTTACTATTTATTCACAGTGTGGATTTATCCATGAATTTAAGTCAGTAAGTGAACAAAATTATTATTATTTTTTTTTAATAGAAGGTTATTTTTTCTCCGTATCACTGAAGACACAACATTTGGAAGAATTTGAAACAACTGATTTTGGCTGAAAAACAATTTATTTAAATTTGTTTTTTTTGTTGTTTTTTTGAAAATATATTGTTTTTACTTCCCCCAATTCAACTGGATTTAAAAAGCAGCAGTGTTCTGTGGAAGTCGGGTCAGCCAGCAGTGGACGACGAGTCTCATCAAGTTATTTGGATGGACCCTTCAGTGAAGTATGAACTCAAACGGATAGAGGCTCTCATCACACTGCCTTTCGTTCATTCACCTGTTCATGACACACTGCACATCATCAGATGCATGGGGCTTGAATGATGGAAAACATTACGAAAAATAAAGACATAGATGTTGGCAAAGAGGGGGGAAGCTATTTACAGAGTCCCTATATGGCATGTCTGTCATTAAAAGCACCACTGAAAGAGAAACTTGCATTGGTTTAAGATAAAATTCCCTCCTTTCTCAAGCAGAGCCGGGCCGCTCTGTCATATCACAGGTTGGGTTGATGATTTTGTGTTGTAACTCTACTCTGCTTTCTTGGGCTTCCTCTTGCGGGTTCCTTCACTCAGTTCCTCCTTGGTTTTGGCGGGCGAGAGGGGCACAGCGGCTGGTGCGGAGTGGTGGTGATCATGGGCATCTTCAGTACCAAGGGGTGAACCGAATAGCAGGTGGCACAGCCAGGACTCGATGAGGGCGAAGGGTGATCCGTGAGAGTGACGGGCCGTCATAAACGCCTGTATAAAGAATAGTAAATATTCTTGAGTAATGAACTTGGAAATGTCTCAGCTATTACCTTTTCTGAATAGTTTAGTTTTGATTGCTTGTGCAAAAAGTCAAAATGGGCATTGTTATTGGCCACTGCTATTGGGCTGCTAAAGCCAAAAGTATACTGCAGTTTATGGTCTGAGTGCAGATTTCATCATCAGCCCAGTATGCACATACTGTTAGCGTGCAGTGTGATATTTTTTTTTTTTTTTTTAATCGCCCGTACGCCGAGTTCGCACATGCACCTTGAGTATTGTTTTGTTTTTTTGCACTAGTAAGTTTGTCCACAAGGTGGCAACACTTCCAAGGCTTACTGTTTTACAGTCACGCAATAAACCAATGATACTGAATAACAACAAAGTACTGCAAACGACAAAAACAATCCTGGAAGACTATGGTTTCCTTGAGATTTTACCATGGTTTTTACACTCTAAAAAATGCTGGGTTAAATACAACCCAGCGCTGGGTAAAATATGGACAAACCCAGCGATTGGGTTACTACCCAGAACGTTTGGTTAAACATTTAACCCAACTGTTGGTTGAAAACAACCCAATTGTTGGGTTTGTCCATATTTTACCCAGCACTGGGTTGTATTTAACCCAGCATTTTTTAGAGTGTATAATGGCCATTTCAATTTATATTGAAAAATGTTCAATGTTTATCTTCAATTTTTTGGATGCACTATATGGACTATATGGAGTATTTGGACCTCTGACCATTACACCACTATGATATTGCATTCTAAATACACAGACAATTATGAACAATAGTTGACTTAAATAAAACAACCCAGCATGTTGGGTAAAACCATTTAACCCAACCAGCTGGGTCAAATAAGCCAGCATGTGTTCTGTCCAATATTTACCCAGCACTGGGTTGCCAAATAACCCAAATTGGGTTGATTTTAACCCAGCATTTTTTAGAGTATGTATTTACAGATGCTTGTAAATGCAGACTGCATGCTAGGTGCTTCATTTTATACACCTGTGGCATTGCATCCTACTGAAACACCTAAATTCAGTCATTTAAGAGGTGTGTCCCAATACTTCTATCCATATAGATTCTTTGAGATAAAACTACTGACCATGTATCTTGGCAAACTTTCCCTCTGAAAGAGAGCTAATTTTGCAAAGCAGGGCTTACTTGATGTTAAGTATCATGAAAATTTGCTGAACATTTGCCTTGACAATTTATGGGCATTCAGTCAATGAACGAATTCATCATAAATGAAAAAAGTCATCATAATTGTTGTGGACAGTTGTTGAGGGATCTTAATGCTTCATGGTGTCTTTGATTTTTACACTGAGTTACATTTGTGTTTTCTGATATTTACACTCTTATATTTCAACTTATTAAATGAGCTGAAAGAACTCTTAAGCAAGCGTATTATTACCTTGGTTGAGGCCATGAAGAGTGTAAAGAGGCAGATGAGCATGCTTTTAGACACAGGGAGCAAGTGAGCGTCCTGAAGGGTGAACAGAATGGCTCCATACAGACTGGCCTTGGTAGGGCTGAAAAATACAAGAATCACATTCTAAACATTTATAAAAGTCATTAGTCTAAAACATGAACAGCTTCAGAAGACTTTGAATGAAACACATGAGTCATATGGACTACTTAATGCTATTTTAAGGTGGTTTTTGTTCTTTTTGGAATTTAAACAGACGATTTTTCAAACTTTATTTTTTCAAAGTCAGTTACAAAAAGGTAAATTGGCCCAGTTTGAATCAGAAAAGTAAGACCGATTACCTCTTGGCTAACTGCTAGTTGGTCAAACTAGTTCTTAAGACAATCTTAACATAGCTATGTTTATGCAGCTGTCCCAAAGGTCTCTACAAAATGTCAGTGGACAAGACATGGCTCTCCTAAATGCTGCTTCTGTGTAAAGGTTTTCCACTCACAATGACATGTTGAGAACTTCATTGGTCTCTGGCTTCCAGACTCCTCGCAACAGCTGCTCGAAATTGGACATGAGAGTGACCCCTGACCCTGTGAGTTTTAACAGAGACAATCAGCAGAGCGGTGCAGGTTTCCCGAGCAAGAGTTTTAAAGGGTCTTATGAAAGCGTTTCATGACCCCTAAAATAAATCCCTCTGGAGATATAAGGTACTTACCCTTAACATAACCAGTGATGACCATGATCAGCCAGCCGTGGTGATACGCATGGTGAGCGTGATGAACTCCAGCAGCGATTTTACGTGTGCGGACCACTTCTTTCATTGCAACTAGCACAAGTTTCACAGGCAGAAATGCCACACATTTGTAAAACAGGTTAAGAGGGCAGAAGAAAATCAGGTACCTGAAAAAAGAGAAGAAGAAAAAAACACATTCTGATAAAAAGATACAATAATAGATACTCACACAAGTTTGTCTGGAAGAAGAGGATTTAATAAAGGTACTAGTAAACTATGAGCTGCTAGAACTGCTTTGTTACTTGTATGTGTAAGCAATTAAGACACGTGGTAAATGTAGAAATATTGTATTAAGGTAAGTTAATATCGACGTATTAAGATCAAGATATGAGCAAAGTTGTTATTTACGGATGTAACACAAAGAGTTTAGTTGTTTATGGTTGCCTAGCAACTTACCACATTAATATAGAATACCAACTGATGTGCTGTCACATGTGCGTACATCGACTATTTATAATGGCTTCAGAATGTAGACTCAAAACTGTTTGTTTTATAATATTACTTTTACTCTCAGTAATATTAGTTCTACAATTAGCACTTTTAAGATGAAGAGTTCATAATCGGATTATATATTTCATTGGATTATCTAAAACAGAAATGGTTATTAAAATAAAATATATTTTTTTATTATATTTCCAGCAAAAAAAAAAAATAATAAATACAAAAAATATATATATGTATATAATAAACAAAACTATACACATTGTGATGTAATACTATAAGATAACTTATTACAATGAGTTATGAAATTATAATAAAATGTTATGAGCTGATTATATGGTACAAGAAAAACTGTTGAAATTTTCATGTTACAAACAAAAATACAATTTTCAGATTTTATATCCAGATTTATCTTAAAGTGATCTTTGAAGTGACTTCGGTGTCATATGCAAAGTGTACAAGCACTGAACCATTTAAAGATCCTCACCACACAGCTGAAGCCAGGAGGATGTGACTGTTGTTATGGAAATAGTCAATGGGAGACACACCAAGCATGATGTCTGCTAGTATGTAGCTTCCAAAGCAGTAGAGCATTGCACAAAGCCATGAGGCCACTGGGCTTTTACGGGACACTTCCACAGCACCTGATTAACACAGACCAACACAGAACACCTTCACTTTAAAGACTTAACCTTTACATGTATACATTTATAAATACACAACGAGTTCCAAAAATCTGATTGTCCCATGATTATAATTTAAAATGGGAAATTCAGTTCTTGCAACACAAAAAGAGAAACTTCATAAAAGTGGTCCTCATGACTTGTTTACCAAGTGATAGCTTTGTGTGAACAGACCAGTTTACATTGTTATTTACTGAAAATATTCCTCTCCACTGGGCAGTTAACTAAACCTAAAAATTGGATGAAATATTGAAATATTTATTTGAAAAGACTTGACTGATCATTTGACCACAACTTGTCTAATGTACGCTTATGATACGTTTTTGGAGGGTGGGGACAAAAAAAAAACGGCAGCTGTAGTTTCCAGAATTTGACATTTACATTTATTCATACCACATTTTACTATAAAAATACGGTACTAACATTTTACGTTTTCAGATTGAACTTTATAATATACTGACAACCACCTTTAAAAACCCAGTGAAGAGAAAGCCACATGAGGAATCAAAGTTCATCACAAGTTTTTCTACAAGCTGAGGTAAATACTAATAAAGGAAATGCACACAGTGTCATACAGAAACACAAATCACCATTACAGTAACACACGACACTAAAATAATTCAATAAACATTAACAACATAAAATGTAACATAACCCTAATGTACATAACAGATAAGACAAAAACTAAGTAGTAACATAGTTACAGAGAATTCTGGGAATTTTTTTTTTTTTTACTGTAAATGACAAGAGAACTATACAAAGCAGTACATTTAACAGTATTTTACTGTAAAATTACATGAAACTCCCCATTAGATCAGTTTTTCACAATATATACAGTAGTAAGGGAATATGCCATTAAATTAAGTTTTACAGTAGTATTTACTTTTACCATTAAAATTGTATATATACACATACATACACGCACACACATATTTGTTTTTTACAGTGAACATCAAAAACACTCCCTAAAGCAATGTTAGGAGGACCACATGATTTCTGACTCCACTAAGAGATGTTGTATATCTAGAGGTCCACAAATCTCCAGGGATGAACACATCTTACAGAACAGGCGTAGCTTGGGTCGTTACGCACCCAACAGGCATTTTAAATGAAAAACGATCCTCTCAAATGTGGCCTAAAAATAAACTAAGCCTAAAGCTTTTCGTTCGTCTCAAACTGCAGGCCTGTTTCACACCACAACCTCCAACCCGCACAAGCAGCTGACAGGATGAACTGCAGCCAGCAACTGGCTAATGTTTGGATGAAGTGGTGGATATCTATATCACATTCTTCACCATCAATATGCTTTATCACAAGTTTGTGAATGGTATAATGGTATAATGGCATGAATAGTTATATATCTGTGCCCTGGTATATCTGAAAGCCTGATGCCATTTTAAGTGACAGCATCAACTCATACTCTGTTCTCATCAGACAGGTCGGAAAGCATGTAAAAATAAAACCGCTTAAATCTGTAATACTGAATGACCACTAATGGACTAATTTATATTTCATTCACTTCAAAATAAAAGAAATACATTAAAATTCAAATTTGGCATTAAGTTTTTTTATTTTGTATTGTTACAAAAAATAGTTTGTAACCTAATAGTTAAGAACATTTGACCCCCAATTCATGCATTACATTGCCAAACAAGTAATGTCATTACCGTAATGCCAACATAATAATAATAATAATATTAATAATAAAATAAAATAAAATCTCATTTTCAAAATATTTCATGCTCGTAAATGTAATGCAAATAATTCATTCTCATCATTTTAATGTCAAAAAGCTCCTTTTTAGCATAACAAAATTATCATTGTAATTATCATTACAACAATAAAAGGTGATTTACGCCTACGAAAAAATAATAATATACTACTACTACTACTACTAATAATAATACATTTAAAAAGTAGGATTATATAGTGTCAGGTAGAGAATCATCATTGAGAATAACAGAAATTACAAAGTCCAAAGCGTCCAGATTTATTACAGAAATGAAAATGTCGGAGAAATAGTGTGCTTAGTTGTCAGGAAACTAATGTCACAATGCAATGCAATGCAATAATTCTGAAATACGACTTGGACATGTTTCAAATGTGACTCTTTAAATGGAAGCAAGTCCTACATAAATTTGCTTAACAAATTTACTGGGCTTCGTTTTGTCCTTTCCTCTGCTGCTGTCTATTTAGGGCGCTTCTATTTATTGCAAAGAGACTCGCAGTGGAATGTGCACGCACTCTATCGTGTTTCGAGGAGGGTCTTCAAGAGGGGGACAACTCGTCCCACCCCAAAAAATAAAGAAAATGCTGAATGATAGGCTACGTAGAGACATTAATAAAATATTAAAATACGCACGTAGGCTATAGGACTGTTCTGCATAGGCTACTATTTCAAACACAATGCCATGTGAAAGTGAACTAAATTACATAACACTTATTGAAAACAATAATAATTATTGTATGGCTTGAGAATGGATTATTTCATATTTAACGCAGTGTTGATCCACGCGCAAATGCAAAGAATAATAAATAAATAAACCCCCGTCATTTAAATTTGACCCAAATAAAGCGCAAGTGCAATATTCTTCTGTTATCCCTAAAGAACAGTTCTACTTACCTGGTTCATATTTGAGGTAGAGTATTGACACGATATAATAAGCGACATCAAAAACTGGAAACATTGCCATTTTCGAGAAATACTGGGCAATTTCGCCCAGATTTAGGACATCCAGCACCTCCATGATGTTCTGACCCTACCGCATGAACAGATCTTCAAGAGACTCGCCGTGCGCACGAGTAAAAGGCTCCGCTCACATGCAAATGCCTATTAATACACAGCACAAGCTCAGGCGCACTACTGCAATAGTATCTCCAATAGTATCCAGCTGCAAACCCGCAGCACCAGCAGCATTACAGAATACTCACCGTGCTCTCTCGTTGTCAATAACTCCGCCCCTCACTTCCGGTTCTGTGGCTGCGGTTCTGAAACTGCTGGTGCTGCGGGTCTGCAGCTGGATATATCTCCACTACTGAGGCGAAATCAACACACAGATCTCACGCGGAGGAGCTACTGCCGCTTACTGGATGACCGCGAAACGCGCTCATAATCGTCCATCAATCGAGCTTGTTCGATCGCGAATACCAGATGTAATCGTTTTATTGTCATTGCATAAATAGTCGTGACCTCATTTTATAGCCTGCTGAAAAACCTCATCTTAAACCAGCCTTGAATATGATTTTGCTATTCAAAAAGGATTAATTAAACTGAAACACTTAAAGATATCACTAACAAAACAGCCTATTCCTATAAACCTTTGCCATGTATTTTGGGTGTGGATCGTTCATGTAGTACCTCTCTTTAAATAGGCCTATGCCATAGTACCATAATACTAGCTATATGGTTGTTGATATGAATGTAACATTGCTAAGGCTATATATAAACCTACAGTATACCATGGCAATACAATGTTTTTTTGTTTGTTTGTTGTTTTCCTGTGGTCAAATTCCCATGATACTACCAATTGATTCCATCATTGTACCATGGTATCATAGTCAAATGCAGGGCCGTCCTTTGAGCGGTGCAACTGGTGCAGTCGCACCGTGCCCTGAGCTTTGAGGGCCCTGCGCAACCCCCAGTGCCACCCCCCATACCGCGATCACGAACAAACCGAGGGGGCCCCGCTCCCTACCTCGCACTGGGCCCCGCATCAGCTAAGGACACATGATAAGTCAAAGTTATACAGAGATCATCTTACTAGGAGATGAGAGGGTCTGTATTACTTACTATTGGAGAAAGCGTAACTGCTAACTTGGATCACGTGTGCGAACCAATCACATTACAGCCTTGACGTCACTGAATTTCACCGAGTTGTGCGACACTCAATCGCCGTTTACGGATACCAGGAATGAATGAGAAGTGCCGTAAACTGAATAAAAAGTGAAAATAGTTCAATCCTGAAGTATTGTTTAGTGTAAGACGTTGAAGATAAGCCGACAGGCTGTCGATTCATTAAATAAGCCGTTTCCCATAAAAAGCTGTTTATTCGGCATAGTGAAGCCTCTCCTCCATTGACATCCATCCATCCAAAGGCCTCTGGCGGAGTGAAGCCTCTCCTCCATTGGCATCCATTAAAAAAAAAAAAAAAAGCCTCTGGTCTCCTTTCCTTTCTGTACTGCCAGAACGGAAGTGTTAGCATTAGCCGTTACACTTTTTCGGCTAAAGGTTGCAGGCTTGCTTTCTAGTGGCTTTGATTTGTAGGCCAAAATATTAACTTAAATGCAGGGATCTCCGGCAGCTAGGGTTCTTGGAAGTTACACAACCCAATTGCTGGGTTTGTCCCTATTTTACCCAGCATTGGGTTGTATTTAACCCAGCATTTTTTAGAGTGTATGGTGACCCATACTCTGCATTTAACCCATCCAAGTGCACACACACAGTAGTGAACACACACACAGAGAAATGGGCAGCCATATTGCTGCAGCGCCCGGGGAGCAGTTGGGAGTTCGGGGTCTTGCTCAAGGGTCTCATCTCAGTCATGGAATTGAAGGTGGAAGAGAGCGCTGTACATTCACTCCCCTCACCAGCAATCCTGCCAGGCCTGAAACTCAAACCCGCACAACCTTTGGGTTACAAGTCCAATTCTCGAATCATTAGGCCATTAATGAGCACAGTGGATTCACCAATTATTGTTTTTAAACTAATTTATGTGTAAAAATATCTAAGTCATGAAACTCTAGAAAGCTAACTGACAGTGTTGGGGGTAACGCATTACAAGTAATGCGAGTTACGTAATCAGATTTTTTTTTTTAAGTAACTAGTAAAGTAACGCATTATTTTTTAATTTAGAAGGAAATATCTGAGTTACTTTTTCAAATAAGTAACTCCAGTTACTTTTTTCCCCCATGTATTGACTGACAGTTCTCGTGTTGCCATGTTGAGAGAAATCGGGATTAATCATTGTGTGTGCTGTGTGAACATGATGTAACTGTAGTTCTAGACTAAATATGAACATGTATTTACTCATCTCACCTGCACAAAAACAGATTCAGTATTCCTCAAAATGAATAAAAGCAGTGAAATGCAAACTCAGAATATTATACAAACCTGCAATAATTAAATATGTTAAAGACAAATATCATTCATGTATTTAAGCCCATTTTATTAACCAGTGTCTTTGCTACTGACCTTCGATGATCCAATTCAACCATACTAAGCAAAAATGACACATTTGTGTTTCAATTTTGTTATTGCTGAATAGTGTTGAACTTTCTTCTCCTGCGTCATATTCTTCATGCAATTTGTTTGAGCTTCGCCCTCTACTGTATAGACATGAATTTACATTTCCTTCAGCCTAAGGTGTATTCATTTCACTTTTGGTGTAAAGGGGCTTACATTTGTAAAATAACTTTTTATTTTAAAAACAAACAAGCCCTGCCCAGATTTAAAATGTAACTCAAAAGTAACGTAACATTACTATGCAATATAATAATGTTGTAATTGTGTAACACAATATTGTAATGCTTTACTTTTAAAAGTAACTTTTCCCAATACTGCTAACTGATAGGTCCTTTACATGCAATCTGCAATTTACTACACAGCACAAGCTGATTGGCCTGTGCTGATTCTGCAGCCATTGCGCTTGCTTTCTTGAGATTTAAATAGTCTGTTTCAGTGTTTGCTGTAAACTGGTCCTGCAGCAGCTCTATCTGAGTTCCTCTGAAATCCTCCACCTCCCCCAGTTCCACCTGTCTAGATCTGTTATAGGATTTATGTATGCCCATTCATGCAGCAGCTGCAAATCTTACAAGCTCACAGAAGTGTGTCTATCTATTGGCAGTAGCATGCATAGTAATCTAGTCTGCTAAGACCAAATGCATTAACAGAAGGTGCATCCCAAATCACTCATAATCATGTTTTATTCTATGCCGTTTTGTAGTATAAATAGTGTGATTAGTGTGTTCTCGCTGAAAATTCTTCTGTGCTCTCATTATCCCTTAATCCCTTCCTGTCCTAGCTTTTACTATTTTGAAAGACGACTGAAACCTTGGCACTTCTCATGTTTACTGCCATCTTATGAATCACTTGAAAAGCATCTGCCAAATGTAAATGTAAAATTCCAAAAAGAAAACGTGCACTTTAAATGCCTGGATGTTGCACTTAACCCGAAAATACAAAGTGTGGAATGGTGGATACTTTATGCACTCAAGAATCGTAGCCTTAATTACGTGGCGGAAGTGAAGGGGCTGTCAGAATCCGACTATTAATGAAAAAAGTAACCTTATAAAATTCATAAAATACATCGTGCATAGGGCGCAACTATAATCATTCATTATCTATTCTGAGAGTTGTCATGTAGGAAATACAGTATTATTGTCACTCAAAAACCAAAAAAAAAAAAAAAGTATTAGTAAAATGAACAATTGCTGTGCATCAATACTAATTATTATTAGTAGTATTAATGTATTATTTTAATCAAATATGCCATTTTTAATACTATATGCGACTATAGCATACTAGGCTGCTGGGTAGATTACTTAAATTGTAGTCTGTTACTGATTACCTGATGAAAATTGTGGTCAGTAATTGTCATGGCTCGCCTACTGTGGCGGAGAAGAGAAAAAGGAGCGTGGAAACCAAGGGGATTACCATCAAAAGTCTTTATTCTTTTAATTCTTGGGGACAGGAAGGACAAAATAAGGGCAAGGAAGGCACATGGGGAGCAAAACACACAAAACCAGGAACAGAGTCAGACAGTAATATAATCTAGATTACTCATTTTAGGTAATGTACTCTGACTACTTTTGGATTACTTTTAGATTACTTTTATACTTCGCTTTTGCCATTGCATTACTCCAGGGTTTCCCAAACTGGGGTAAGTTAAAGAACTGCAAGGGTTTTAGGAGTTGAGGAAAAGCTATTAATTAAAATGTAAAATTAATAGTAATTTTTACCTTTGTAATATTTAATTTGTTTACCCTCATGTCAGTGTGACCATTAACCAACATCAGAGTTTAGTAGTGTTTAGTAACTTGTCTCATACATGGTATAATTGACTGAGAGGTGCTTTTGTTCCCAAATTAAGCAGCATGGACCGTAAATTAATTTATATTACAATTACATGGCCTTTCCATGTTGTGAATATTCAAAGCTAAATGACAATTTTAGAAAGAACATTGAGAAAAAAAGAAAAAGAAAAAAAAAAGAATTAGGGAGAGTCAATAAATTGTGCATAATTTACTGCAATTTTGTGAATAATTTGTTATCATGTAATCCATAAAATGTAACTAATCGGTTTATGAGCATTTTAAAATGCAATATAATCTAATTACAAGTAGCCTACTCAATTTTTGGGCAACACTTTATCTTAAGGGGTCCTTACTGTCACGAATCCAGTCCATGAACTTCCATCCACTTGCCACCAGAGGTCGCCCTCCCATGATATTGACTCGCACCACACAGACTGTTACACATCACCCTGGACTACATTTCCCATACTCCATTGCAAAAAAAAGTCTATCTGTACACAATCTGGCAGATCAGAATAACATGCAAAGTCCAGATACTCTTGAATATAGCCTTCAAGCGGGCGTGTACCCTGCTTTAAGGCTAATAAAAGTTTTGCAGTGTCCATAAATGGCCAATGTCCACATGAAAAGCTGCTGGATCCTTGTGAGGCTGAGTATTCGGTTACGGGGCGACATCCCTAGGTGAGCAATAAATGCTGAACAATACTCGGCATTGAATGGAGCTGTGAGACTGATTTATATAGTGTGTGTTATTGGTAGCAGCAGTGTGTGATTGGTTTCAGGTGAGCTTGTGATTAGAGCAATGGAGTATGGGAAATGTAGTCCAGG